CTATAATATTATTATACTTTAATAAAAAAAATACACCTATTTCAATAAATAAAAAGTTTATTAAATCATAAACAAATTAAATACTTTTGTAGAGAAACATAATAATAATAATTATAAATTAAATTAACAACATTAAATTTATTTATCCCAGTCTTTGAGTAACTTATATTAATATAAAATTAAAATATGTTTTAATGAAATAAAAACAAATTTAACAATTTTTAGTATAACATTTATAAATAACATTATTAATAATAATTATGAACTCAACTAACAAAATGTATGTATCTCAGTATTTAAATTACTTATAATAATACAAAAATGAAAATGTTTATAAAACTCATGGGCATCTGCAGATGTAAGATGCATTATAGATTTGATAATATCAAATTTTAACTTAAGTATTTTTTATATATCCCAAGTTGTCTCTTATAAAATATAATATTAGTAGATAACCTAGGAAGAGGTTTAGTAGTTTCCATATCATAAATAAGACATTGGAAATGTTCATACTCTTTTGATTTTTCCAAATAATTTTTTAATAATACCTGTGAATTCTCAGTCAAATTTAAATGTTCAGTGTGTTTTAATGCTATTTCTTGTTTTTTATTAGCTTCATTATTTTTTATTTGGACATTTAAAGAGTCACATGTATTGCACATATCTTTTTTAAGTGATTTAAAATTCAAATAAAAAATCCTCTTATAAGATGAGAAAATAACTGGGGCTGTTATGTTTTCTTCTTCATATATTGTATTCGTTTTATCCAAAGTCATTTCTGATGGTAAATATTGGAAAGTGGATTGTTCTCTGCAATAATGAGATTTATACCTCGGAATCTTGGCTATATGATAACGAAGAAATAAGAATAATTTTAGTTATTGGTATAAGTATATTTAATCACTTTATTGATAATAAATTAATGATTATGAAATTTTGTGGAAACAACCAAGGTGCATGGATTAATATATTTCATAATTTTTATCACTTATACCTATACGATATTTATATAAAAATATACGAGAGTCTAGAGCATAGACATATTAATAAATGGACTGATCATAGAGAGGTTTGTATATTAATATTGTTAGAAAAAGATGGTATATGACTTAAGATGGTCATAGAAGAACAAATCATATATCACGAAAAATAATTAATTTTTAACTTAAAATGGTTCTTCAGTATAGATGGTTCTTCAAAGATATAGACGGAGTATGTAAAAGGCACATTGCATTTGTTAATATGTCTATGGTCTAGAGACAGTCTAGAGCAAATTCTTTATCAATTATAATTATAATATTTCATATTAAATAACCTAATATTATGTATGCCAGTATATTATCAACATGAATGTACAAACTATAGAACATTATACAAAAATACAAAATAATAATAATGATAAGTGTATAAATGTAAGATCATTTATGTAAGTAGCATATGTGTCTTATTGTCTATATGCATGGTCAAACTGCAAATCAATATGGACATAAGGAGACCTATCTTTTTCGTTAGAATCATCTATTATTTGTTTTTTTTATGTTGTTCAATGTTGGTTTATTTTTAGCTGAAAAAATCTCAACTGTTTTTGAACATTTTTATTGGCTGGTTCTTGACTTGCATTTTCTTTAATGAAACAGGAGTTTAAAAAGTTATTTGATAAAAAATATAGCGGTTTAATATTAATAAGGAATTTGCTCGTGGGCTGTCTCTATATCAAGATAGACTGGTTAAACAACGGCCTATAGTACGGTGACCAGTTTTGTAAAAAAAAAAAAACGGGATAAACAATTTTTAGTTTAAATACTCTAAAAAAACATACATATTTTTTTTTATATTTTTTATATTTTATAGTTACATTTACAATTAAAATATTTTTTAACTACCTTTCTTAATATTTTAATACAAAACTTGATTACTTTTATTGGGTTGATGTCAATTGCTCATCATGTCCTTTATTATCAAATGTTTCGTTACTGTATTTTTGCGGTGAACTGATTGCGTTTAACAGTTTTGGTTGTGTTAGCAAAAAATCATAAAAATCATTACACGAATATTTTTTGAAATGATTTTTCAAAATTATAATTGATTTGATAGTAGGAACAAGAGAGCGACTTTTTTCGTCAAAAAGAATATCTTCATCCACATTCCAACCGGTTTGTTTATTATTTTGCAAAATAAATGTTAAACTTTTTTGAATATCATTCCATGTTGGACAATTTATCAATTGTGTCCAACGAAATATTTTTAGTTCTTCAAATGAATTTCCCCACTTTTCAATATAAAATAAAAATGTGTCATAAAACTGGTTAGTTTGCTCAATAAATTGTTTTTTTGTGTATTTATTTTTTGTCTCTAGTTCTAAAATCATCGAGTTTACACCGGAAGTTAAAAAGTTTTGTGTTTTTCTATTTTTTATTTTTCCACATAATGCTTCTAGTTCTTCTGATACTTCACATGCAGATATGTTGTCCCCTTCTATTCTTTTTATAGTGTCACAAAC